ACGGTTCATGGGCAAGGTCCTACAAAGTGCAATAAACCGTTTTGAAAAAGCGGGGCGTGAGAAGAATAACTTCAGGGTCAGAATAGTGAATGGCAGTACCAAATACTCCTAGACAACGTTTTTGGTGGACAAGTTTTTAACAGAATTTCCTCATATCTTGGCGGAACTGTGCCCAAGCAGTGCCCGTCTCAACTTTGGCCCTCTAGTTTCCACAGTAAATGTTTGTTCTACTTCAGTGCATGATTTCACTAATGTAGCTAGGTTTTGTGAAAAAAATTATTCCCAGGTTGAAAAGTCGTAGTTGAGAACGTGACCAACTACATGCAAGTACCACCTGTTCCACCTTTCGAGGCGATGAGGCTAATAATTCGAACGCAGTACCACCTCAATTCAATGTTTACTTTAGCGAGCTTTGAAAGCCGTTTCTATCCCACACTGATTAACACCAAGCGTGCAACATTACCAAAGTGCTTGAAGCAAGAGTAACAGAAAGACGGGTGTATTGCAACAGAATCGTCCGGTGCAGCTGGTGGGCGTGGCCTGCGACATCCTTGCGGCGAGAAGACGAATCATGCGTCTGGCCGTTTGAATAGGGATATTGAAGGGACGGTAAAGACTGATATCACCCAGGATCGAGCCTTGTGTTCAGTTACGGTTAAGTTTTTAGTTTTTTCTTTGTTTCTCCATAGAGTATGGAAAAGTTCATCAGAGCGTGAACTAGAGTCTTTAACAATTGCCCTGGTCTGTCATTTTTACAGCAGCTCACAGAAAAACTTGACCATTCATCTATTAAATGTTGACGCTGAATCGCGAATCATGTGAACCACATAAACATAGGTAGAATAACATCCTTGTTCGATTTCTTTTGTATTTATGTCCTGAAGTTGCGTCCATGGATCTACCAAACAAATGTGTGTCACTATCGAGGAAAAAACATCGTTAGGTCCTCAGTTATTGATGAAATCTGGTAAAATCGTCGCGGATGTATGCTATAGGAAGTCAATTGCTCCAAATGCAAAGCTATCGGCCAGCAAATGTGAGCTGCTGCGTCATTCGCCGCGCGACGCGCCTCGTGCCGCGGGCGCTGTTCCGGACGATTCTGTTGCACGTCTCCCCAGAAAGAGAGATCAGGCCTATCCTCCGAAGTCCTCACAGCGACATCCGAAACACACCAGTCTTCTTCCACCCAGACAAAGGAAATTATCGGCGTAGTTTCAATGTGGTTTCATGCCCGTGCTGATGTTTTCAACGCACCTACGACAGACGGGCAATTTAAAGGCAATTCTCGCGACCACAGCTCATAGGTAATACGGTTCAAAAATAGAACTGCCGTGTGTTTGTTGACTTATTGAAGGAGAAGGAAGCACGAAAAAGCGCCCGGAATAAGACCCTCTTTATTGCAATTGATCATGATCACCGGACGAGCGTAAGGTGGTCAAGATCAATTGTGAATTGCGAAAGGCGGCGATACACTGATAAGAGACGAGAGAGGCCAGAAAACGACGGGCGAGAGAGCGCAATGGCAGTCTCACAACGACACGGTCACTGGAGGCCGGCATGGGCCTATCGGGCGCCAATGGGCCTAAAACCTGAGCGCGCTGCGTTTTGCTTGCTGTTTTTCAACTTTTAAAAGCAGCATAGCCTCTGACGTTGCCTGCTTGACCGTCGTGCACGGTTATGAGAACCTAGCCTTAGTTTATCGCGGAACGTGCCTTTAAAGGGCACTGTCTTGGGTTACGGACCCATGGCGGTAATACTGAAGTTAATTTTTTGTTATCTTGGATCCAAGGTCTTTCTGGCGGAACGCGGCTAGACCCAGCACCTGACTGCAGCTTTCAAATTTCCCGTGCGCGCAAATCTGAACACAACTTTGAATTATCTTCTCGCGCGGACACCCGATCACAAAACAGCTGATGCTTTATTCTCATGTAGTAGCTGTGGGAACTTATTCACGAATGTGCTGTTATTCGCTATTCTGCTGCAATTGCGTCCAGATCACCAACATTGCTGGTGAATACTTCCTGGCCTTCCAAGAGTATGTTCTTCGGCTACCCATTCAATCTGATGTTCATATTGTGGTACTTTTTTCCTGTGAATTCTGTTCTGCTACTCTTTTAATGCACGCCACCAAATCTAACAAGTAAAACGTGTAACGTCACCACTCCGCTATTGGCTTTTAGACAGTTTCTCTTTTGCATACGAAGCTTCCTTTAGTTATTTTCTCCTAGCATTCTATTTTTGACGGAATAATATTTTCTCCGTTCATTTAGCATGAGTGGTTGTACTTATTTCTTTAAAATACTTACTTCTTTTTCGAATTTCGTTCAAGTCACATCACTGTATCTGTCCTATGTTGCTCGCCAGGTTTATTCCGTGCATTCCATGGGTTGTCGCGAGGAACTGCTACGCGAACCCCTTGTGAAGTCTCGAGATAGCCTGAAAAGGTGCCTGAGGCCTCAGAATATCTGTCCACCGCTGAGCCTCCCTCGTCTTTCCGTTTTCCTTTCTCCTTCCTGCTTTTCCATTCATCCTTCCTTCATTCCTTCCCTCACCTCTCTTTTCCTCCCTCCCAATGTTCGACCAGAAGATGCGATGACAAATAACCTCTAGGCGAGAGAGCATCCGGTTGATAGACTAGGAATGTTTCGTAATCTTTCCAGTCAATTCACCATTGTTGATCCCACCTCGACTACTTGATTTACTTAGCGATGTGGCTAATTACGTCCGATAATTACGGCTAATCAACATGGCTCCTCCTATCCATTCGACATGTCCAGAATGTAAGAAAGTGAGGCTAAAGAGAAATCTCTACACACATCTCAAAGTCGTCCATCGCAACTTGCGGAAGAGGAGCTTATAATCCGCGAAGAGATTAGTAGGGAAGCAGGCTCGCTAAGGTAACTTGTCCATTATGCAACGAAGTGTTCACTACTCACGAAGGGCTGGCGCAACACTGCCAGGCGACTCACTCTGAGGAAGGCGCCGGAGGACGTCCTGCAAAACTATTCCATTTTTACAACAACTTTCGCAAGCCGTGAAGAGTGGTAAGGTTCGATTGTACTACGATTTTTACTACTACTTTTACCAATTATGATTATTACTTTGAAGAGAAACATAGAAATTTTTATTAGCGCTGGTTCGAGCAAAATGTAAAGAGACTTGCACGACGCTCTCCAGAGAGCACACGAAGACTAAGGTTTCCTCATCTACGCATAGATTTTTGTAAGTTACATTTAGGATGAGAAATTAACTGCTGCGTTACTGCACTTCTCGATCAGGTGCAACCGAGCTGGTGCGCGCATGTCCACTGGAAGGCAGGCTGGAACGCAGAGAGTTGGCTAGCAGAAAGGATGTTAGTCACTGTTCGTGACGTATGGTTAATGGTTAACTTCATCGAGGATGAAATGGAGTGGCGGTGAAAGGATGCTTCGGACATGTCGGGCACGAACTAGATCCTGCTTTGCTGAGACCTCACACACTCTCGACTCTCACACCAACAGAGGATATGCTAAAGGAATCTGCCTGAAGGTGGCTTGTTTGTATTAGCAGTATCTCTAGCTATAAAACGTATATCACTCCATGGACTATATCATAAACCGTTTTCGCAAGGAAGACCCAACAAAGACCTCTAAGCTGTCGTTAGTTGTGAAGCGTGATCTACGCAAGTATCATACAGAAGTACAATATGGCTCCATAGTGGAGACATGATGACGACCTTACTTCTTTGCAACTGCGCTTTGGCGAGCGTAGTCCAGACGTTGGAATCAGGTGCTTGCAGCTACCCGAAGATCCCAGTGGAATGGGTATCTGTGGGTAAGAAAGAATTTGACACCATGAAATCAGACACTATTCAGCGTGACGTTATTCGACTATACCCCAATATCTCAAGAAACGTTGAAGATTTGAAGACAGAATTGATTTTAGACTCTATCACAGATATGAACTCGTTTTTGGCCTTGAAAGGTGCCATTCAGGCGCAACGGATTTCGCCTGAGTGGCACCTTCCAAGGTCATGATCATGATCAGTACACCGAGTAATTCCATAGACAACACGGGTATTTTAGCGAAAATCCTGGTATTTTTGGCAGTAATAGGTAAATAATGCCCACATAATTTGTCTCATAATTAGCCGATTGCAAACAATTCAATTGTAATAACGCTACTGATGCTCGAGTGGTTAGCAAAGTATTTTGGAAGAGGAGTTTCGCTGGACGACACATTTCATACAACCAGATATAATTTAAGACTAGTCACCCTGATGGTATCAGATGAGAAGGATCGCGGTCTCCCAGGAGGGTCAGCACAAGTAGTTATGAAGTTACATCTATGAACATTTTCAGCCTTTCTTCCCAGTGGAACAATGACAAAAGCAGATGTCCAGAGGTTGTTCATGGAAGTGAGGAGTTTATTGCCCAATTTTTCCCTACGACCATGATGACAGATGAGGCCCGTGTTTCACAATGGATTCTGTGCTGTTCTCCCGGAAGCGCGTACACGGCTTTACTTTTGCAGGTTCCATATATGGCAAACGTGGGAAAGGAAAACAATAGAGCTTGTGAAGGTTTGTGGGATTCCGTGTTCGGTATTGAAAAGAAATAAAAAGCAGAATTTTGTTAAGTAAGGATCGGAGGAATCACGCGCAGGTGAACGAGGGCCGTGAAAGCGCAAGGCCTTGTAGGGGATCAATGATCTGAGAGCCGGGTGGTCGATTCGACGCAAACAAGTGCCTGAAGGTAAGAAGGTGGGTCAATCAATGACCACCGTATCGGAGTCTGATAGGCTATAGGAGTACTGCCTGAGGGGAGCTCCGAATCGTCGGTAGATGGTCATTGACCAGGAGATCGTGCTGGCAAAAAGTACGCATTGCCTGAGGAGAGTAAGGAGGCGGGAGAGGCCCTATAAAAGGCGGGGATCAGCCATAGGGGCATGCTCATCTCTCGTCTAGTGGCTTCGTTCTGGTGAACGAAGCTGAAGCTCTTCCGCCTACTCCCCTCCTTCTAATCCCTGTGTTACGGCCCAAGTGGCCGTGAGCCTGTGTGTACTTCTAGCAAGGGAAGGATGGTAGGTCGAAGTGGCCATTTGAAATGAAATGTATACCGGCTGAAAGGTCTTCGGACGGGAATTACGAAACCGTCTTCCATATCTGCTGCGGACCTCCCAGAAAGAAGTTACGGAGCTTTTTTTGGGGGAGAATACACTACAAATGTGCGGCGTAAGGCCATCGAGATC